AAAAAAAAAAAAAAAAAAAAATCACAGGAAAGGGGGGGGGGGGGGGGGGGGGGGGGGGTCAGGAACAGGGACAAACGATGCTGGTCTTGTTCAAAACCCAAACTTATACGAGCGCCGAAGACACAATGGTTCCGGAAAGAAGACGTGGGCTTCATTCCATCCACACCTCAGATTCCGTACCAAAAAAACGCGAATGACCACGCAAGTGCTGGAAAAGAAACGGCGATGCGTCAAGTCGTCCATCCATCCGCAGTTGAGGACAGAAAGCAGACACCAAGAAAAACAACGGCTACGTGACGATCCCCACCGGGCTTACGGCGGCAAGGATGGGGGCTGCACGGGGCAAGATGAGACTCACTAGCTAGGAAGGAAGGAAATGGACAGCACGTAGGTCACGGGCACCATGAGCGCGGTCGTGACGATCAGCTGCATCTTCAACGACTGCGAGGTCGGGCAGCACGCACACAATGTCAAACAAAGCGACGCGCAAGACGCAGATATTTTAGCTGCATGCGGTGGGGTTGGCAAGTGGAAACCTTCAAGGGAACAAGAGAGTCATCAGAAAGCTTTGCGCTCGTTCCCCTATTTCCCTCTTCTCTACCCCCCCACCCTCTCAACTCCTTTTCACAACAACAATAAAGAATCTACGCGAAAGACGGTCAATATTTAGCGTTCGTTGCGTACGAAAACTAAAGGTACTCGCCAACGACCACGACCACAAAACCGCCTAGACACCGCACCACGAGCACCTATCTGCCACCATCTCAAAACTTTCTTTGGTGCTCACAAATGAACTCGACTCGACTGAGAAAGGGAGGCCAATTGAAGTTACAGTCTCAAAAGCAATTTGTCGCTTTTTCCTTGGGGGTGTGTGAAAGGAGACAGCCAAATGATTTCACCCACCCATTCGATGTCCTTCTCCTCCTTCACGGGGAAGAGGTCGGTCGAGAGGAAGGAAGCCAGCAGGCACACGAGCAGACCGCCCGCAGACACCTGGACTCAAAGCAAGTTGAAAAATAAGAAAAAATAGAAAAACAACGAAAAAAGACAGTTCAAACACGACACAGGGCACGTTCAAGTCGACAACGTCTCAGCAGTCACGCACAGCAGTTGTATGATGCGAAGGGGAACGAAAACAAACCAAACTGAGACGCGACACTCTTGTTTACCTTAAAAAAAATACTGATCTCGGAAGACGAGCAAGATGGCTATCCAAGTCAGGTCGGCACAACAACAGCAACAACAACCAAACACATTCTCTCGACCAGAGACCAACTACATACTCCTGTGTCACACGGAAGCAGAAAGGCGAAGAAAAAAAAACGTGCAGAATAACGAAAACGGTGTACGCAAGTCAAGTCCCCTACTGCACCTCCATGGGGAAAACAACCGCGGCCCAGCCGGCGTCGACGAGGTCCGGGCAGGTGGCGGCGATCACGAGAGCGGCGCAGGTGGCTTCGGCGTAGGAGCCGAAGAGGTCGGCGCCCATGCCAGCCACGTCTCCGACGTTGTCGCCCACGTTGTCGGCGATGGTGGCCGGGTTGCGCGGGTCGTCCTGAGACAGAAGGATTCATTCGACGGTTCATTCATTGTTGGAGTAAATTTTGCAAGTTTCGGTGCATTTTTTTCAAGAAACATGTCTTGTATCATGTCGCTTACGGCGGCTTCAAAGTCATCAATGACAGAGAAACCAATACACTGCTTCCCCAAAACTGAAAACCATACCCAGTAGGTTGAATCGTCGAAACAATGAACGAACAAGGCGTTTGTGGCGCAGCATGCCGCTGCCTTCATGTTCTTCCCCCTTCCTCCTCACCTCGGGGATGCCGTGCACGACCTTGCCCACCAGGTCAGCCCCGACGTCGGCAGCCTTGGTGTAGATGCCGCCGCCGACGCGGCCGAACATGGCGATCGAGGACCCGCCCAGCCCGTAGCCGGAGACGCAGTTCATCATCACCTTCCACTCCTGCGTTGTGTTGTGTTCGTTTGTAGAGGTTAGGATTTCGCTTTAGCGTTTTTGGCCCGTCATCACTAGCCAGATGCGAGAGCCATCGAAGAGGCCGGGCTGCATTCAATACGAGCGAGCGAGTAAATCAAACCCGGAAAACTAGCCGCAGAAAACAAGAGAAAAAACGCGGGCTAACCCCCTGCGCGCCTCCCGCAACCTATGGCTACTACTACACAAGATGATCGCAGTATTCATGTATTCATCACCCAATCACGATGACCCCACCCCCTCCCCCAAGCCCCTACTAGATATTTCTCACGTCGTCACCGAAGTACTGGCGGTACCCCCACAGCGCGATGTACAGGACGAGCACGGCCATGCCGGTGAGCGCGAAGCCCATCACGGACCCTGCGCGGAAGGCCACGTTGAACGACGCCGCCCAGCCCGCGCGCTGCGCCCCGATCGTCGTGCGCACGTTCGAGTACACAGCCACCTGCCAACCGTGACACGAGTGTCGCGACGTGTTTTGTACCGCGCGCGAGACGGGAGGCAAAAGCAGGAGAGGTTGAGGACTTGGCTTAAGGTGTATGGGGGGGGGGGTCGACAAATCACGTGCATCACGCAGACGGAGCTTTGCCGCATGCGTTGTTCATGCCCTACTCAAACCAATGAATCGCGTGCGTCGTAGTGCTTTTCCATCTTGTGCATTGCGGTCAAGTCGCACAGTATATGTCTCATCACCCTATGCATACGACCTTTTGCCTACCGGACTGACGCGCCGGCAATACCAAACGGGACGAGGCAGAAGCCTTCGCGGCGATGCTACGCTTCGTTACAGCAGGCGTTACGGTTATCGATAGAAATACGAGACCCCCCTGCCTATTTCACAGAGAAATAACAAAATCCTCGCCAAAAGGCGGTCCAAACACACTCACACAAAAACACACACACATGCCCGACCCGACAGTCTCAAAATTTTATTCGAGCATATCAAATGCCTACATACCTTCATGCCGATGTACCCGGCGAGGATCGAAGTGATGGCTCCGAGCACGAAGGCGCCGGTGGTGAAAGCGCCCTCGACCCACGAGTCCTGGCCCACGCCGACGAGGAAGAACACCACGGCTCCGAAGATCACGATGAAGATGCAGCAGATGGTGTACTCGGCGGACAGGAAAGCGTCGGCGCCGTGGCGGATCGCCTCGTAAATCTGCCACGGAAAAAAAAAAAAAAAGCACACGCACAACACAAAGAAGAAACGGAAGGGGAAAGGAAGAGGACAACGAAAACGAGACAAGAATGTAAGCTCTCAAGACTACTGCTTGGCTCGTGAACAAGGCAAGATACCGACCCAATGACCCGTCTTGGCTGTTGTTACACAACTCTGCCGAAGCGCAAGAGGCACGCAAAGGGAGATAGATAGATCAAAGGAGAGAGGTCCGGGGGGACTCGGGACAAGGGCAAATAGTTGCTTCACCGGGGTTCTAGTGTCCTCAGATAAGCCATGCGTCGTTGTCTCATCATCGCCCACCCTCGCCTCCGACGCATTGCTTACTCCCATGTGTACGGCCACCAAATCCACACAGATTACGAGGACACAGCGATGCACAAGATAAAAACTTGAGCAGGCCGAGTGCTTCCCAATAATCGCCAATTGCCCATCACGTATACGTGTATCGTGTTATAGGCAATGCTTAAGCTTCGCCCACTCACAGGGTTGCACAGCAGTGGTTGGGCTCGAGACAACGACTAAAAACTGCGTCAAAGCCGCGAGACAGCCCAAAACCGACGAACAAAACCTATTTTGGGTTGCTACACAAACGTTACAATACCAAGAGAAAGAGGCAGGCAAAGGGAAATAGATCAAAAGACAGAGGTTCGTGGGGACTCGGACAAGAGCACAAAATTTGCTTCACCGGGACGCTTTGTTGTCCTCAGATAAGCCATGCGTCTTTGCCTCATCATCGCCCTCCCCCTCTTTCCCCACCCTCCAACGCATTGCTTCCTAGAAGTACATGTCTACGGTCAACCATGCTAGCAAGAGCAAGAGCAAGAAGCACGCAGAGGGGGATCAAAGGAGACAGTTTCGCGGGGACTCGGGACAAGAGCAAATAGTTGCTTCACCGGGATTCTATTGTCCTCAGATAAGCCATGCGTCTTTGCCTCATCATCGTCCCCACCTCCTCCACGCCGCACTTACCTCCAAGACCCCACCATACATCAATCCACCAAAGGAATAAGCGGCAACACTCGCGATCCCAGCAGGAAACCACGGTGGCGGTGATTGGTTTGCAACGTGGTCGTACTCAAGACGGTGAAGAAACGGTACAAACCATGGGAAAACGGTAAATAACACCCACGGAAGCACAGCAACAGAGCAGCCGGGAATCGGGACCCCTTGCAACAAGTTACAGCAGTGTTGTACAAGGACGAGCTACCTACCGCGAGCCGTGGCCCTGAACGAGACATCCACACAAAATTGTCGAAGCAGGACAAAACCGCGAAAGCGCGGCAATACCGTTTCGCTCTCTCCTCGCATTCCGCATGCTTGGACAATGCGAAGCGAATCTGCAGCAGCCCTGTGTGGACGGCCCGGATTCAAGCCGTCTTGCGGAACGCCCCCCACAAAGGTATAATAAATCAGACACCCCCGCGAGGGCAAATACAATACACACGCAACGTTCCTACAAACGAGACAAAAGCTCTTGCACCCGTACCTCAATGAGGCGCTTGGTGCGTTCCGAGCTGACGCTGGTCGTGAGGCTGGCGGTGTCTTCATCTCCGGACTGAAGCCTGGTCGACAAGAGACAAACAAGATGGGCGGCGGGATGCGACAAAGAGAAAATATGCATGAGCACATGAAAGTATTTATCTCAAGCATCGGAGGCTAAATAGGGCGGATTGGTAGGATGGGCTCTCACACGCACAACTGCATGTAGATACCTCGCAGAGAAGTCTATGGTTCCATCCCGTATGTAGTTGGGGCAACGCAACTTGGGAGGTCTGCTCTCGGCGGCTAGGCTGAGAGTTTGCACATGCTGCTTATGTGCTGTTGGCAGAAAACGCTCGAGTGAAGGGACTACTGAGCCCCTTTCGTGTTGAATCATGACATACAAGCGCCTCAAATAATCCCATTTGTGCGCCTCCGCCCGGAAACGGGGATCGTCAGTTACAGCGGCGAGAAAGAGACCGCCGTTCCGAGGGTAAAGACTAAGGATGATTGCCTCCGTCGGCGGTTACAGCAGTATGGTGTTGACGAAAACAGAGCAGGAAGCCGCTGACAGGGCGGAGAGGGGCGGGGGGACTGGTACAACAGGAAATCAAATCTCTTCGGCATGGTCTCCATCGACCCGGTTTCTTACCTAAACCTTGCCTCTTGGTGTCCTATGTACCCTATTAATAGCATACTTTATGTCTTGTCTCTTTGTCTTGTCTGGAGGGAACGTAACACGTGCCACACATACGTTGGTTCCTATTGATCAGGGAAAACAAACGGGTCTTCACACCGAGAACAAGCCAAACAGCAATCTACCTACACATCGTACTCCGTAGACTGTAGCAAGAGTAGCTAACCAACAAACTACCAACGGGAGAGACTTACTTGACATTCGCGATGAGCATGAACTGGACAGCGGCGAAGACAAGGCCGATCACCGATGCCACGACGATCAGAGTCGTCGCTTGCGACTCGAGGGACTGTTGTTGTGTTGCGCCCAGCAGCACCAAGCAGCGCCATTTTTGACGAAAAGAGGAGAGGAGGGGGGAACTGAGTAAGGGTAAGGGAAGAGGTCACCACAAGAATATTTACGTATGAAAACGCCGTCATCTCCAGCGATCCGAGCACCCACAATAAAGGGAAAACGACGGTATTGATCACACGGCCAGTTACGAAAAATATCAAATCTGCTCTACAAAGTGATGATCCCTCCGGAGTGGGCTCATCATGAGAGCACAGCAGCAATGTGGTGATACGTACAACCGCAAGCAGGCAGCAGGACCCACAGCCTTTTCGAAGGACGTTCCACCAACGGGGGGGTATTTCGTATTTCCCTTCTCTTCGACAGCAGGTGGACGGTATACCGGCAGCTATCCAATGGGTGCAGAGAGGAGTGCATCGTTGGTTGTTCATCGGTGTTGGTTGTTGGAACATTTCTACATGCAGTTTAACGTAAAACCAGGTAGTTAAGACTATGCATAAAACTGCGAAGGTAATTGGTATTTGGCTGTCCGATTTTGTTATGTGGGAGGATGGATGTGGGAGAGACGGTAGCCTAACAAAACAGCAGCGTACAGTATGAATAACTCGCGCGAACAATACCAGAAAATTTAGGTAGAGGTGCTTGCATGGATATAGAACTCTTTCGTTGAAAAACAATACAACCCGAAACAGGGTACGTATGGATATCTACAGCAGTATACAGTAGTACGGTATGCAGTCCCTCTGCTGAACCTCAGGCAGATAGCTTGCAGCTGAGATTCGCCATTTCCCATAAAAAAAATCGGAGGGTTGGTCGGTAAACAGCCGAAAACAACTCGAACGAGTCAGCACATTGCAGGCCCGGGCAAGTGCACAGCGGTGGCCGTGGCCGAATAGTGCCAACGGTTCCCGGTGGTTCTGGACAGAAGCCGACTAAAAAAACGGCACGCGCCACCTCCCCGTGCGCATACCAATGATACGATAAAGATGCGGATGATCGATCACCTGGCGTGTCTCTTCGCTTTCAAAGAGCCCACAACAGGAAACAATGAGAGGACGCGAGAAACAGGCCGGGACAGCAAGAACAAATTGTGCAAAAACCAAAACCAACCAAAACGGGAAATCTTTCGCGTTTGAAGCACGCACCACCACCGCGCAAAATTGAACGAATGCATCAGGACAAGGCACGGACACGCGCGAACGGAAGCCAGAGGGCAACCGAGTTCTGCTCTGCCGACCTTGTGGGCGCCACCCTTTCAAATGTTCCAAAGCACGCTTAGAAAAAGAGGAGGACGCCCCCAAAAAACGCGAACACAAGAAAATAGAGAGGCGTTGAGATTTTTTGCCTTTGTTCTTACAATGCGCGGTAGGGCGCAAAAGAGCAATAGGAGTCTTCTCTCCACGTCGGAGCTTCTCCCGACGCGGCGGGTTCACAGCAGCTATCTATCGGGAACAGATGCACGGTACTGGCGCATCGAGCGCTACGCGAGCTGTGCCGTTGTTATGTTGCGACTGCCCAGGGGGGAAGCATGCGCAAACCACGCACCAGACACCGGAAAATCATGCCGAGAGTGCTCTCTCCGTTTGATTTGCGATGAATGATGGCATGCCGGTTCGTGCCCGTCACCGTGCAAAAGGCTCTCTGTCGCTAAAACGGGCTACGGCATGGGATCTGCTGCGATCCCGGCTTGTATCCCCCGTCGCCTACCGGCCAGACTCTCGTAAAACAGAAGCGAGGAGGGGCGGGAATCCCTCCCATGAATGAACACATACACAACCGCGCGTTTGGCACCATCCATACCTCCACACCTGCATCAACAGACCTTCCGCCAACGCGCGCACACACGAGAACAAAGGACCCTCGTCCACGCAAGGATCACTCACCGCCATGATTGTGTCTTTCCCAAACTTTGAGCGCAAAGACGCCGACCAGAGAGCAACGCGCCACACAAAAAAGAGCGCGCAAGATGGGGGGAGAAGCGATACAATCCAGCGTTGCCACACCAAAAAATAGGAAATGGGGGGGGGAGGGGGGTATATTGAGGTACGGGGGTACCACGACCGTTTCACCGACAACGCATCAGATGAGAGAGTACTGCTGCTGTAGTTGTTCCTGCTTTGCAGCCTACGTACCGGCAGCCTTTGAGCGACGGAGTGAAAAAAGGCGGAGCTTATTGAACACCGCAACTGTTTAAATACACATCCAAACCCAGCTGTTCTAACTGAGAGAGCCTATCATAAAAACAATCACAACTGCTGTAGTCTAATCCTGCGGACAGATAAATATGTCATCGGCGTGGACGAAGGGGGATCGGAGAGCCAAGAAGCAGCTCGAGCAATCGCTCAGTTCCGATCAGGATGACCACGTCACGCGGTTTGCGCTCGTGCGTTTGCTCGCGAGCAAGGCCGACCCTGCTGCCGCTGAGGTGAGCCCTGCGTTGGAGGGGGTCACACAGCGGGAGATTTCAGTGTGGCTGGATGAATGATTAGAACGGGAACCTTGCAGCAACCATCGCATCTGACCTTGGACGTTTGGGGCGTGGGGTCGAACCTCGGCGCATTCACACGAAAACGAAGCTTTCTCTGACAACAGCAGTGCAGTCGATGCATGGGAAATCAAACACCTATGTATTGTTCGTGTGTGCGCGTCAAATTCGATTTCACGGTCGACGAGGGAAAGGAACGGCTACATGCAAAGTGTGCTCGTCACGCGTTCGAAGAAATTATACCGAAAGGTACACAGACCGACGCCCAGAACAAATACCTTGGTACATGTAAGACACACAAATTACAACATCACATGGTCCGTGGTACGGACACCGTACAATATGTGTGTACAGAGAAATTGTAATATGGTACTCCGTATGCTGTAACCCAGTGCAAAGAAGACGATACGCTACCACGGTCACGTTCCAACCTGTTAGGTGCGGCGCCCTCAACTCCCCACGACCTACTGGTTCCTCCGGCCAACGATCTGTGTCATCTAGACTACTCTGCACCAAGCAGCCTACAAGTATTGTAAACACAAATAAACATGTTCTCATTCGCATTCCGGAGAATGTGTTTGGCCTAGTCTACTGCAGTTGTAACATTGGACCATGGCGTACCCGGAGTCCAGCGGGTAACTGCAGTATTATTATCACAGAGTCTATATACTGTAAAGAGTCGGAACTTCAGACACCACCACCATCAACACCTTTTTCGCCACAATCTGTGCACGCCTTGACGTGCGATCGGTGTCCTCGTCTACTGCAGTAAGTAGTTACATGACATGACTCTCCTAACCAGGACATGTCTACGTGTTCACGATATCGCAACAGGAACTCATACGTGGACCTGGGGTCGAAGACAGGCTGCTGGCGGACCCGAACACTCGTGTGGCCATGCTTTCGTCGCTGGGAGGGGCCTATTTAATTTTGTGGCGGGCTCGGGGGGAAACAACATCCGGGTCAACCGGCAGCAGGGCCGGGGGCGGTCAGGGAAAGGATACCAGAGACGTGGTCGAGATCAGATTGGACGTGTCATCGGAGAGGACCGATTTACTTCATCGGGCGCAGCATTTCCTGGAAGAGGCTCTGATGGCTCCCGAGAACTTGAACGACCCCGCCATACGAGCTCAAGTCGGTGAGAGAGGAAAATGGAAGAGCGTTCTCCGTTTCACAGGACTTGTACGCTCACCTCCATCGTACGTCAGATGTATCTATCAGTAGCGGTGTATATTCTACTAGGGTTAGTCAACAACGGAAGGCTTGCCCGTAGCTACGCGCAGGGTGGACTTGTTCATACAACCAGCGAAACTGGCTGTTTGCTCTCTCGCGTAGGCGATTATCATTGTATCGCCCTGACATCCGTTCCCTCGTCCATCCTGACGGCTGTGCTTTCAAAAAAGCTTTCTGCAAAGAAGCACGTGGGGACTGCAAGGAAGCCCTGGCCCTGTACGCCAGCATTATCTCCGACTCGGCGCTGTCGCCGGGGGCCTCTGCCGTAATCTTCCGCACTTCCGTGCTGCTGGCCTATGTCGGACGGTTCGACGAGGTCAGCAGCTATGTAGCTACGTCGTGTCGATGAAAGGTTGAAGCACCTACCACGCTTGCTCTTGGCTCGGCGCTGACACGATTCTATTGGAAACCCTTGACGCTGCTCGGAACACTGGTTACTCTGTTCCGGGTAGCTTTCGAAGCTTGTCCACGAAGAGAATATCCCCGTGGATTGAAAAACGTTCAAGGGGAACTCTCCCCCGTTTGAACCTCATGCAAAAGTGCACGGGCGAATTTCTCTTCCATGGGGGTTCGAAACTATTGGGTAGATCCGCCCTTGTCTCTCAGAAAGCAGTGAGTACTGTATGACAAACAACACTGGCGCCGCCCCTTTGCCTCCAATATCTTTGTCTTTGACCGTCCAGTGTGTCAGGTATTTGGAGTTTATCGAGGGACAACCGCCGAAGGGGTGTAGTATGCTTCTGGTACAAGCGTTACTGTATGCGTGCTTCGTGTCCTTAGGCCTCGAGATGAAGGCCTCCCGGCGCCTGATCACCCTCCGGGAGGCGTACAACGACGAGTACACCGCCGGTCGGATGTGAGTCGTAGTGTTCCAACGGATATATCGCGGCCAGCGCGGTCTGCTCTCTTGTACGAATACCGCCGTTTCACGCCACAGGTACATAGGTGCCGTTTCGAACACACTTCAATGCACTCTCCCTGGCACCATCGTAGTCTTTCTCATTCGGGGTTCTGCGTGCGAGCCTCTTGAGCCGAGCCCGAAGATGCAACACGATGCATCAGAGACACAAAGCGTGGCCCTCCCGCAGGGACACCCGATCTTCGACCCTCACTCCCCCTCTTTTATGTCGCGAACGTTCGTACATCTACAGGGGGGGAGGGTTTAGCCGGGACGAGATTCCATGGGATCGACTGCCCGGGTGGTTTTACATGTGGAGGGAATTAGGTGTCAAGAGCCTTCGCGCCGGTGACTACTACGCGGGCATACAGATGTGAGTTTTCTGCCCATCTCAAGAAACTTTCTTGTTGCAAAGAACCATCACGTATCGGAGCGGTTGGTTTCACGCTGTGCCGTCGAGAAGAGGGGTCTGCTCAGTCTACTGTGCTCGGAGTGCGCCACCATCTTACGTGCATGTTGTGCCAATCGCGCTCAGAACAGGTGTTTCGGGCTTGTCTTTCTCCTTGAACGATGCAGGTTTTCACAAGCGACGCTGCAGCGAGAGGATCCCGAGACCATGGTCTGCACCGCAGAGATGCTTTGGGTTTTAGGCGAACCAAAGGTGATTTGTTGCTTGCACACCAAACTGCCTCTCCTTGTTCTCGGCGAGTGAAGAGATATTGATGACCTGCCTGCCTGTAAGCAGTGGGTTGTTCCGATATGTACGGTTAGTCGCGACACGGTTAATAATACTCTGGAGCCCAAAACTTGGTTGAATAAACGCATAGCTGCTTTTCTGCATTGCGCATGTGCGTAGCTCACAAGATCGTGTGTAAATGTTGGTATCCAGGATCAGTTGACATGGCGTCACCTGTACCGAGAACACTACCTGTAACAATTGTTCACTATACCAGCCCCTTTCGGTTGTCGGTAATCCTAGACATAAATGCAACACTCTTTCTTTGTTCTTCCTCTGTACCAAGCACGCCTTGGCGCTGTGTGAGAGGGCGTACGCAGCCGATCCACTGCACATTGGAGCACAGTGGCGACTGACCGGTTGGGCGCCCAATAAGTGGAAGGACAGAATTGTCAAGGAGGTGAGCGATTAGGAAGAACTTACTGTCACGTGGTTTTCTACCCCGTATGGTTTTGTTCCGTTGCTTTTTCGTTCCTGTCAATATCAAGGCTAAAGACCTCATGAGCAAACCTCCACATGTGGTTCAGTGATTGTCGGCAGCGTCGCCCCTACCTGATCTTGCGTGCATCTGTCCAACCGTTTGGCCGCTGGTGGTTCGTCGACACCACGTTTGTGGTGAAAGTGCCCTTGCAGCCTAGACCGTTGCCCCTTTCGACAGCGTTACTGCCACCCGTATCAACGGCTACGAGGCATGTTTTTCTCGCAAGACGTCATCTCGCCCGCCCCTCCGCTTCGCAACTCACATGTGTCAAATCAGGAGGAACGGCGCGAAGCTATTACCGAGATGCGGCGGCTGGCTGACCTGTCGGACAGAAAGGCAGGCGCCATGCTCGCTCGACGACGGCGCAGGGAGAAGGCTCGGTTCCTGCGCGCCTGGCGACGCCTTCACGAGAAGCGCAAGCATCGCAGGCGTACAAGCGCAGAGGACGAGGAGGCAAGGGGGGGAAGGAGGAGGCGGGACGACACCACGACCTCCAGGAGCAGCGGAAGCGATGAGTTCTCGCAGAGTGACTCGTCGTCCTCACGCTCCGGCTCGTCTTCTTCGTCAGGCTCGGCAAGATCTTCCCGCTCCGGTGACGGTCCGTCGAGAAGCGATCGTTCTTCGTCGTTCTCCTCCTCTCTGTCGGCGAAGGAACAATTGGAGCGCTCCGCCGATGAGAAATCGTCGGCATCCTCCGCGCCCGTCCCCGAACCTTTCCCCGTGCCTTCGGCGGCCGAGGCTGCGGAAGCCGGCCGATCGAACTTCTCGGCCTGCTTCCGAGCTGAAACGGAGCGCGCGATGCGACGAAAGCGAGAGGCCAATGAACACCACCGGGAGATGCCGATGGACATGGCGTCGGTGAAAGTCGCAGCGGAGGCGATACACGAGGCCATGCGCGGAGGTGGTTGGAAGACGGGCACGAACGGCGCCCGCAGCGGCTTTGCAACGCACGAGATGCATGCACTAGCGCGTTTCCAGTGGCACAGAAAAACCCACGAGGCGAAAATCACCAAGGTTGTCTACGGTTCTTAGTCTCTGCAGCAGCGGTTAGCCTTGAGCTCGTGGGTGCCATCATGTGTGTAGTACTGTAAGGCGAGCCGCGGAGTATCATGCCGTCGTTACGATCTCTGCAGCGTGTATTGAATTCTGTTGATAGGTCTTAGTGTTGGTGGTATATACCGATGGTCTTCAGCTTGTGGGGGCATGTATTTGTGATGCCTATGTACTTTCAAGAGCACAGTCGTTTTCATTCTACCCTCACGTGACACATCTAGACTATATAGTCCAATGGGGATACGCCAGTTATTGATGAACAGGTTACAGTAATCCTACGCACACAGGATGTTTAGTGGAGTTCTTGAGCACATTCACGTTTCACCAGTTATATACAGGTGCCACACTGTTCACTGCTGTTGCACCACACAAACACAATTCCGACTTGAGAACGGAGGGCCAAGCGCACAGCCAACCAACGATGTGCCTGGTGGCGGCTGCCTACCAAAAGCTTTTCGTCAAATCAAATGTACGAATACGTACTCAGTGACGGACATAGCGAGCTCCGAGTTGCTGTCACAAAGATTGATACGGACACATTGGGAACATGATGTCGCCTATAAACACGGCGTGTGCCTGAGGGTTGGTGAAGTAAATGGATGTGTTGTTACGCCCCGCTTGGAAGATATGAGTGTTTCTCTTTGGGGTTCGACCCCGCTGCCACTGCCGTTCACCGCGCAAGAGAGAGGTACATATATCGAGGGGCTTGTGAGTGGCAACTCTACAGCCCGTTCAGACAGCGCGAAGTGCACAGCAACAGCAGTGGAGAGTTGAGAGTGGAGGCGGAGAGACTCGCACTGGTGGTCGCCGCCACCACACGGGACTGTCGGGCAAACGGCGCAAGGAGGGGAGGGGCACGCTGCACTGCAACCACGGCGCCCCAAAACATCCGCTGAAAAAAGATCAACGGTTTTTGACACGGCACACGGCACAGCACAGCAGACAGCACCGTCTCCCGACAGCCGGTGCCTCCATCTCTTCAGTGGAGCTAGAGACAGCAGGTCTTGGCCAACCCTACCGAGGTGTCTTTGCGTAGACACCCACCTTATTGGGTCTATTTTTTGGTGGCTGAGACGGGATGGATGACAGGAAAGCGCTGATTGCCGCAGTCGGTGAGGCGGCGGCAGCAGCGCCTGCTGGAGAAGGCGAGGAGGGCTCAGCAACGCGATATGAGAGTCTCCTGGTCTTTGTCAAGCGCCATTCCTCGAGGTGAGCTTGGTTTAATGGTGTGCTACTCTTGTTACCCTGGTGCTGCAAGGATACTTACTGCTCCAACGTGCTGTTGAAATAAATCGCCGTTGTTTTGCCGTTGCGGGTCTGTCCGTTGTGCTCGGCACACGTCGGCGAACAACTTATTTGTTTGGCTCTGCTGTTTGGGCTTGTCGAGGAGCTCTCTGTGCTGTGCTGTGCTGTGCTGTGCTGCAGAACGCACGCCGGTTGTACTCTCCGCCGGGATTCTTGCTGCTGTAGCAGCTTACGAAATAGCATGCCTAGATGTTTTGGATGGTTCATGCGGCGTATAGACCTGTGGCACAATGGTTGTGTCCCTGTTTTGACTAGGTACATATGCAAACCTTGCAATTATACAAACATGTCGACAGCATGTCCCATGTCCCGTACACCTTGGGGTGTTAACGTGCCATTTGACCCGTGCGGGCTCTCCCCTCGAGCAAGGGTTTTGTTGGTGTGGTGGTTGTGTTGGTGTCGGGCCATGGCTATATCCTATCCGTTCGCAGTATTTTGCTGGGAAAAGACGCTTCCCTGCTTCCAAGGGGAAGCACACGTCGTGCATCGACTGCTGTACTTCAAGTTTACCACAAGGCCGCGGAATTGCTTAAAGTGTGAAAGTCTGGTTGGTCTGCAAACCTTGGTAACCAAGATGGTATCACATGCACCTGGTGTCTTCGTGCGATGTCTGTCCTGCACGCTATGCATGTGTACCGAACGCATGCCTTGCAGGAGCGATGACCTGAACCTCGGGGAGGTGTTCCAGACCATGTCAAAGAAGGAACACAATTGGGTGTGGACCCAGGTCCTGGAGGCCGTGGCGCCGATCGTCGAACAGGGAAGGTTCTTGTCGTCCCAGGAAGAGGAAGAGGTGAGCGTATTCCCTGTGTTGTGACGGTCCCAGTCGTAGCTCTCTGGGTGTTCATATTCCCGGTCTCTGTAACCCTTCTTCAACGCCCCGCTTTGCAACGAAGACATGTGCTACACGCGTACATAAACACGCGCAGTTCTGTTCGAGGCAATATGGCCAGCGAAGCAGTGCAAGGACCTAGTCTCGACTTGGCGAGGCAAGAGGAGCAGCAGCGTCGACAGCAGAGGTTGCCACCACCGCTGCTCTAATAGTTGTTGTGAACCCAACATTGTTGCGCGGATCAGCGCGTGTCGTTTAGCAAGGTGTTGACGAGCGCTTGATTATGAGTACATTCAGGGGTTGCCGAGCCTGTCACGCTTTGAGGGTGAAGGCATGGACCGCAGAAGAATTCTCCAGCGCATCTCCAGTTGTCAGCCATTCAGTGGGAAACGGCACAACTACTGTAGGGCAGGAGTTACAACAACGCAGATCGGAGGTCAGCGAAGAGTCGGCGAAAGCTCATCTCATTCTTCGATACGACTCGAGCTCGCGAACAATCAACAATTAAGCCATCGTCTGGCTTTGGGCGTTTGCCTACAACATGCCACCGAGGCCACCAAAGTGTCCAACTAAGCAAGCGTTGACCTCCAAACTTCTCCACCTTCTGTCTCTCTTTCTCTCTCCCTATCTCTCTCTCCCTCTCCCTCTCTCTCCCTTTCTCTCTCTCTCTTTCTCGGCAGAGTGACGACGAGGAAGAAGGGGAGGAGGAGGAGAACAGCACCAGAGAAGCAAAGAGAGAAGGCACTACGCCTGAGCGGCCGTCTACCCCGGAGAGCGCCGGAGCCCAGACGATGCCGCGCCGGCCACGTCGGGGAGCGGCCGACAGCGGCGGCGACGGTGGCGGGAGGGGCGGCGGAAGCTCCGGCGACAAGAACGCGAAGAAGAACAACCAAGCAAGCGTTTCACTTGCGATGGAGGTTGGTTTTTTCCTGCCTGCTGTATATCGTATGAATGACTAGGTGCCCCTCGCTGGTGTGTGTTTTACTCCGCTGGGGCTTGCGCCTTTGTCGTGCTGCCGACCCGTGGCGTGTATTCTGCCACCATACCAAGCAGTGGCGGCATAGCTATCCTGTGAGGCCTCCATTCCTTGGGTGCCTACGGTAGTTTTTTGTGGCCATCATTAACTGCGCAGCAAGGGGGTCTGAAATATACCCCTCGCGGGGTGCGCGGTTTTGGGGGAGAGCGGGAAGAAGAATGCGGGGCACGCTCGACTACCGCAGGGCATGTAGTTTTTCGTCTGCGCATCCATGTCTCTCCTTCCCAAAGGTCGGTATGCTTCCCTTGCTTTGGGCATTTCAACGACAGACACGAGCCTTGCAAAGCTGCGTTGGGCTTGTTCTACATACGAGCTACATATGATGCGCACGCGCACTAGCTCGTCGCTCACATTCTGTGTCTTGCAACGTCTGGCACAACCTTGGGCGGGGATTACGCGGACGGGGTGGGGGGGGTGGGGTGCGTGGACAAGTGCAGGTGCTTTACGCCTCAGCGACGCTTGCCCATGAGTTCCTGGCCGACAAAGAGCGCGTCGCGCCGCGGGCGCTGGTAGACACGGCGGTGTACCTGCACGACATCGTACTGTCGCTGCAGGGGCTGCAAGGGGAGGCTCTCCGGAGGGTCATCGCCAAGGTGAACGGGCCAGCAGTAGCGATAACAACAATTATTTGGAATTATGTTGAAGTAGGAAAAAAACATGCTTTACAAAAAGATAGGGTGGAATCTGAGAGCGAGAAACATCATCGCGCTTTTGAGCTTGCTCCGTTTGGGGGACGCGGTCTTCATCAATCGCAGAAGTGCAGGAGACGATCGTGTTTTTCAAGAGCAAGCAAGTACGGGAGGAACTGGCGCTAAAAAAGTATAGACGACGTCGTCCTTTTGACACTTCTGTAACATTCGTCTGTTCTGCTGTGTCTGCCGCCGCCGCCGCCGCCGCCGCCATGGACTTGTCCCGCCGCCGCGAAAAAATGAACCAACCGATGGATCGAAAGGTGTGCGAGATGTGGTGGACGCAGGACCGGCCCGGGGCGGAGCACCTGGTGGTGCACCTGATACCGGTGATGCTCGTCCGATCCCTTAGCCCGGACGCCAAGGAGGCGGACGTGAAGAGGATGCACGGGTAAGAGTTGTCCGCATTTCACCGCCGTTCGTGTATCGTCGTGGGATGTATGACTACGGTGTGGGGGTCCCGGCTATAGAGTTGCCAGCAGTAGTGTGCCGCCAATCGTTGCATCGTACAATGTGAAGCAATGGCGGTACCTTCTTGCTCGGCCGGCTCGCTCGCCCATCTCCCTCTTGTTTGATGGTATCTACGAAGTTGGAGCGGTTTCGCCCTTGTTCTGTTCTTGAAGTTGGCGTTTTGGTTCTCTCGTCTACCCCGCGTATATATTCCGTCTTTGCCTCCCCCCTCGCCCAGGTTGAAGGGAGCGCTGCTGCTCCTCGACTTCGAGGACGAGAGCAGCGACAGCCTCAGGGCGCTGCTACTCAGGTTCGTCGGCTGGCGTTGGAATGACTCTTGTGCGCGTACAGTACACGCAAACGGGTCTTGTTGTGTACCTTCAAGCTTGTTTCGGGGTGCAGGCCGATGCTTGCTATCGTGTGGTGTTCCCGCCCGTGTGGTACTACCGGGGTTGCCAGTCCCCTCCCCCTGTCCTGTCTGACCGCACCGCTGCCTCATGTTGATGCTATATATGCCCGTGCCTGTCACTTTTCTACATACAAGCATGGTTTTGGGGATCCCTCGAGCCAGGTTATGTACGCGGGGATATACCAGACGCGAGAAAAAATGGCGTCGTTGTCGGGTGTCCCGCTGCACTTTTCCTTCATTCGGGCCGTTGCAACACGAGCATACCTCCGTATGTTTCTTACCCGAACGAACCTCTGTTATTGCGCCAGTACAACACGAGCCTACTCCCCGTACGTTTTCCCCAAACGAACCTTTACCGACAACGATGACCGTCGACGGTGCAGGACGTTCATGTCCCCGGTGTACCTCAAGTGTTCCGAGGGTAAACGCCTCCTTGCTTCGTTCTTCGGCCTGCACCCGTCGCTCGTGTCCGAGATTCACGCCGTCATGAAGGCGCAGATGCCTGGGGCCAAGAAGGCCGTGCTCGCCGCCTACGGGGAGGTGAGTTGGTTGGCGGGCGCGGTGAGGGCCGGGATTTTTTTTATCTCGATATTGTACAGAGTACTTGTTCGTTCGCCGGTCTTTGTACATCCGAAGGGGACTCAGGGATCCTTTACCGACGGCTCGAAGAGATCGAGGGATCGGGTTTAGGTTTATCCATGAAATTAGTACTGGATCGAGGTGTGCTGAAGCAGATACTGCTGTGGGCGTACGTTGTTTTTGTATGACTGGTTTTAAAAACCACCGAAAGAGCGCCCAGCGATCACACACGAGAAGCACAAGAACGACTGCTAAGTGTTCCACAGGAAAAATTCTTCGGTTGTTGCACAGAGCAGCGGTTTGGGCTCGTCTCCACCAGCATACAGCATCACGTAGACTACCCCCGCACGCCTTCTCTTACATGAAGGTATCAACACCGCAACTCTAAATCCAAGACAATACAGGCGACACGGCGGGTGCTCATATGTGCCAGTTCGCCTTCGACTGCGTGGCCCCAGCAACAGATCTGGGCGTGCCAACGCGCGTGTCGCTACGCCATGGCGTCGTTTTCTGTTTTTTGGCCTCCAAATATCTTGGGTTTAGACTAGAAATCGAGTACCAGGCTTGTCTTCACTCCCTTAAATCGTTTGGGTCGTGAGTAAAAGATGAGAACTCTCTCCGGGAGTATAGGCAAGATTTCATGTGTGTGTCCGAGGTTGTTTTTTTAAATCCTTGGTATCGTTCGCTGTTCTGCCGGCTTGTTGCACAGATCCGACCACCTGTGACCTCTACAACAACATGGAATTATTTGTCATGCTCGTGTCACGTGTGCTTACTTGTGTTTGTTTGTTTGGGCGTGCATTCCATCCATCCGCAGGTGTACTTTCGAGTGTGGAGAGGGACGGAGGGACAGTACCTGGAGAAGGTGGAGATGCTCTGCCTGCAGGTGGGCGTTGACTTTGGTGTTGTGTGAGTTTTGCTAACAACGTGTCGTAGCATTGTTGCTGTTGTTGAGCTGCTGCCTGTGTCCATGTCGTTCTGCTACGGCTGCCCTTGTTGTTGTTGTGTGTTACTGGTGGTGCTACTGCGGATGTTTTGCGGCGGCTATCTGGTGCCAAACGCCTTGTGGTTGCCCTTCGTTTTCCTGTAGCATCGTCGTGCAAGTGTGTGTGTACTTTGCTCGACGGGAAGGAAGGCTATACAGACAACCTCCTGGGCTTCTTGTTTCGACTTTCGAACCCTTGCATTCCGTTTCGTGTCGAGCAAGAACCTGTACGGATGCCTGACCTTCTCTTGTCGTTGTTGCTGGTTGTTCAGTTCAACATACAGCCTGGTATCTACATCCCACGGTTCTCATGTACCAACTCGATTATGGACCACGAATCGGCCGGTAGCTGAGCGCGGTGTTGACATCGGCCGCCCCCCTTTGCTGCACGTTGTTTGTCTGCAGGACCTGATGCATGCATGCATTCACGCCTCTACGCCAAAGATGCACCAGAACATCCTCATCGTCCTGGAAGGGCTGCATTCGCAGAAGAAGGTCAGACTTCAGGGCCCGCGGGGGGGGGGGGGGGGGGATAGGTGTGGCCCATTTGAATGGTAGAAATTGCGTTGGTCACAAGCAGGTTTTATTTTTTTTGTGGTGCTTCTTGGACTGAAGAACATCCAAGGTTTGTCGGAATTTACAAGCTTCGACCTTGTGACTCAAGAGCACCAGGACCTGTTGCCCACTTCGTTTGGTAACTTTGCATTCATTATAACCGAGGCGTGGCCGGTACTCGTGGGGTTGATGGAACCCGTGGTTGATAGAATTGGCACGGCTTGCCATCAGTCCTCCAATCCTTTGGCTTGCTTCCTGCGCCCCTACTCTCTCCAGCTCGTGATCAGCCTTCAAGGAATATCCAACGCTGGTTGAAACTGTAAAGGAAAGGGTTCTACCCTCTTTTCCACCACCCCGATTAAGGGTTCTTCCCTATGCCGTCACCCCGCATACCCGCTGTCGCCTCTCTTGGGTTTCCATGAAGACATGAATGTGCTGATGCTGCTGTGTATCGTTAACGTTGATCACCGCCGCCGCCAGGTGAAAGGGGTGGACGCTGATCTCCTCCGGCTGTATGGTCCGGTCATGTGGAGGTCTCTCCGCGTCGCCAACCCCTCCGTTCGCGCACAGGTGAGCTAGGAGCCTTAGCCCTTTGCCACGCTGCGATTGTAGTGCTGTTGTTGGTGGAGGCGATGGTCAGCAATCGGAGAAACACAAGGGATACATACCTAACTCGGTAGCAGCAGGCAGTGGTGTCTTGGATGTTGCCGCTATTTAACCGGTCAGCCTGCCAACATATGAGCATAGGCCACTCCCCATGGAGGTTCTCGGTCCCACTCGGAACGTGTCAGATGTAGCGCGGCTTTCCCCGCAGGAGTGTAGAAGGGAACGTAAAATGTATGGTATGTGCGGTCGTCCTACTGCTGGGTCGGTTGATCTCCGAGTGGTGAGAGGTCGATGGTTTCTGTGGCAGCGGGCGGTCATCTCGTTTTCACTCGGTTTTAATGTGTAGGTTTTGGTTGCGTTTTTGTGTTCTCGTTGTTGTTCCGCGTTTTGGTCAGGCCTGCCAGGTGCTCGTGGACGCCTTCCCTCTGCAAGACCCCTCCGCAGGCAAGCTATTCTGCGTCACGTTTCAAGCAATCAATGCCGTTTTCCCTTGTCCCTCATACAGTAGGGTGGTTTCCCCTCTATTTTGCTTCTCCTAGCAAGGCAGCCAATTTGGTACGAACAATTGTTTTTCCCCACTACTGGGCAGTATATAAATTGCCCCGCTCACGCAGGGCTACCTCCATTCCGGGGTGGGTCCGCTTTCCTTTGAACGTGCGTGGTTGGTATCGGCGAAGTGTTCTCTAAATTGAGCGGCACAAGACATGCTTGCGTTGCGCGACCAGTCGGTTGTAGGTTTGCTCCTACTCAGCTAATGGTTTTAGTGCTGTAGTCCCGTGTCAAACACGCATCAGGTGATGCGTTCAGCGGCGTGTGGCGTGGGATGACTCGATCGTCAAGTTCCAGATCAAGCCACGGACGTCACGTCGCTCTAAGAAAATGATGCATGTTGCTTCTGTTGCTGTGGTTGTTTCCTCCCCCCCCCCCTCTCCGTCCTCTCGAGGACGCGTGGTGAATGGTCTAACCGCTAAGGCACGCAAAACATAAGAGTACGCCCCCCCCCCCCCCCTGTGTCTCTGGCCTTTGCCGCCACGGGTACGTTCACGAGCAGGCGCGGCTTCCTACGACGCCACCCTGCAGCAGCAGTTCGTCGCTCTCACCGATCTGCTTGAAGACGCACACCCCCAAGTCAGGGCTGTCGCCGGCAAGGTAACCGGAGCTGCGCACGTGTATTTTTTTTTCATTTTTTGGTATGTTCTCTTTTGCCACTACAGCACGTTCGGGAGGGGCTAATCCACACAGAGCTGCTTTCTGCTTCCTTAAGAGACACGCACATTTCATCTGCCACAGCGCTGGACTTACTCCTTTCGTCTTTGGCCCGCGAATGTAGAAGCATCTAGATGCCGCTCCAAAGTTCACCGCCGCCACTCAGCTTTTCTGCGCCGCGAGAAAACTCTTGGAGCTTTCTTTGGCGATGAAATATATGTCTCTACAAGAACAGGACAATTTCTGGCCAGTGCTGGCATGTTTGAGGAGGTAGCCTTTTGTTTCACACCCTGAAGACCCCGACCTTCACCGACAACGCAACAGCCTCCACCTGTCTATGTATGCCTCCACTGCCACAACCACCAGGGCGCGTGCCGTGTCCTGAGCGTGTTCTGGGAGATGGTGCCGCTAGACACGACCAGAGCGCTGCTTACGAGGGTGGTGGGGCGGCTGGCCAGCGACGGGTCCTCTCCGGCCGTGAGGCTCGCTGCCGTGGAAGGGCTGTCCGTGCTGCTGGAGTGCCCCGCCAGCCACGCCGTGCTCAAGTCCATGCTGCCTGTGAGCGTTTCGGAGGAGGGGGTTCGTTGTCGTGGACGACGGTAGTGCATCATCGTATTTAGACCGTTTCATATACAGCAGTTGAAGTCCCTGTTTTCAGCGAGGTCTCTGTTTTCAGTGTGTGTATGTATGTATGTATGTATGTATGTATGTATGTGTCCAGAAAATTCACCGGCACTATACCGGATCGGTACTATACTATTCTAAGTATTCTAAGTATTGAGGATGACTTGGAAATTCAGTGTGTGCGAGCCGAAAACACCGGCACCACTATACCGGGCACTTGCACCTGTCAACCGGCACTAAACAGGGACCTTTACTGTACCCAGAAGGTTCGAGCACGTGCGTGCTGTTTTGTCTGTAACGCAGAGGGGGGGAGGTAATGCATGGGCCCCGGCGGCGGGTGAGGGGGGGGGGTTGGGTCGGTGGTGCTAACGGACACGTTCAAGGCAAATACCACTGTGTAGGGCTGCTTCGGATCCAAGAACTTGGAATGTTGTGGTCTTGCCAATTCTGCTGCAAGGGTGCACTATAAACACCAAGGTGCCCACGGCCGTGGCAGCGCCGGTTAGCGTTATCGTACTACTATCGGGTACCTGGCATGCTGTTTTCGCTGCCTGGTGTGCCCATCTGTGGCTACCCATACCCAGCGCTGAACTGCTGTAACTTGGACGCTTCCTGGCCTCCCCGGATACTGACTACGGCTTCCCTGCCGTCGCGGCTCTCTCTCTCTCTCTCTCTCTCTCTCTCTCTCTCTCTCTCTCTCTCTCCGTCCGTCCGCCCGTGTGCCTGCTGCATCCCACGGCACAAATCGAAACAGGGTGTCCAGAACCTCATCCACGACACGAACAAGAAGGTGCGCACGGCGTTCGTGAAGCTGCTGCTGGTGGTGAAGGGGGTGAAGTCCATCAAGTACTACCAGGTGGCGACGGTGGACCACATCCTCGCACGTCTGTCCGAAGATGACGCCAAGTGAGCGGAATGAGGAGTTCTCGTGGGTGATACAAAGACAGGTGGTTTTGGTGGATTTTTTTTGTGAGTACAGGTGGTTTTGGTCGGAAGCGTACACGCCCGGGGCCTACTGCAATGCGTGTTGGAACTACCCATGGGGCTTGTTCTCTTGGTCGAGTTGATCTGTTGCTGGATTGATTGTTGGTCTTGTTCGTATACTGCTGTTGTTGTTGTTGTTGTTGTTGATCGACATGTCTCTGTTCTCTGTCTGCCACCTTGTGTGCCCCGGTGTTTTGCCTGCCTTGCTGCAGGTGTCCCGCTTCCGCCTCGGGACTGTCAAAGCTCATCCTCAACTCCTACTTCCCGACGGGTGAGACAGTATTCAAAAACGATACCGCAGTACACGCACGAAAACGGCAGTGTTATCGGTCCTCTCGTAGATCTCGTAGACGTCTCAAAGATCAAGAGAACACCTCGAGGCAGTCTTAGTCTTCACACTGGTGTGCGTCGGAAGGCCGGATGAAAGATGTTTGATGAAAGTGTTGGTGACGGTGGATGCTGCTGTTGGGTTTCTGTCTACCGGAACGCGTACTTTGTGCAGTGCCAAATGTCCCGTCATGCGCCATCGTGTCGGTTTTGCTCGTATTTTTTTCCTCTTCGTGTTTTCCATTGCGCTGTTTTACCCGTTGGCGTGACGTCATGCTCTTCCTCTTGTGAAAGAGCGAACAGTATCCCCATACCGCAAAAAGTGCGTACGGTATGTGCTGTAAGAAACTCTCGAAGGTTTACAGCAAGTGGTTTGTGTCACGCACTGCAGCAGAAGGAGGACGTACATGTTCTATGGTCTCGACTAGTTGGGGCAAGCAAGCAACAATTGTTTACCCCCCCATGCGCAGTTACACAGTGCTTACAACTGTCTCTGGAAGTGAAAGCACCAGAAAATAAATTAAGTCATACGCAGCTGTCATCCGTACGCAAGGAAGTAAGCACAAGATGCCGAACACCCTTAGCAGGATGCAGCTCACCCTTCATGCGACTCGCCGAATACCTCACGGCGCTTCGCGCTTGGTGATGTGAGAGCCTGGTCCGGTGAGAACCCGGCGTGCTCCGTCCCGGCTTTGTAGGGATGCGAGGTCAATGGTCTAACGACTACGGCATGCACGACTATGAGTACCCCCCCCCCCTCTCCCCCCATGCCCCGGCCAAGCAAGCAAATATTTTTATTTACGATGCCCCGGCCCCGGGTCCCTTCTTCCGGCATGTCCCGTTCATGCGGTCTCCGCTCCTCCGCCCTCCAATACAAAACAAACACACTTCACACACACAGGATCTGGAGTGACCGGATCATTCCAGGTCTCGCGGTGCCTGACGCTGCTGTCGCAAGACGAGGGAGCAGCCGTGGCGTTCTTCTCCCGCCTGCACCAGAACGCCGGGGTGCCCTCGTCCGCCAAGATGATCGCGATGCTCGTGCGCTGCATCCTCGTGGTCGCTCGCGCTTCTGCTGCTGCTTCTGACGACGACGAAGAGGAGGAGGATGAGGAGGAGAAGAAGAAGGTCGACCGTAAGGGCAAGAGGAAGGGGGTGGAGGAGGGAGGGGGTCAGCGCGGCGCGAAAGGAGGCAACAAGACGGGGTTGACTCTGAAGGCGTCCGACTCCAAGGTTCGTGGTTTTTCTTTTTCCATTGGTTGTGCTGTTTGCTGAAATCCTGTTGTTGTGGAGCGAAGCAGTCGTGTGGGCCGGGGACAGGGCGGGGGGGGGGGGGAGGGGTATGTTGCTCCGATACGCCGCTGTTTTTTGTAGGGCAATACTCTAGATGGCATTCTCTAGTTGGGATGCGTGCGGTGGCGTCGTTTTGGGCAGAGGTCGCTGGCGTTTCTGCAGCCATGATATGCCAGCCGGGGTTTGGCACGAAAGGTTTGGTAGTACCGTAATAGGCCGGGAGAGAGACAGATGGCACCCCCCTAGACCGATTTTCAAAGATAATTTGCTCCGCAGGTAGAACTATATAGTCTACCGTTCGCGCGTGGCGCGATACTTTTGGCTTGTATTCGAAGTTATGTGCGTGATACATCTTGAGCTAGACCAACAGCAGATTTCTGTGTGTTGTCCCAATACATCAGCATACGCCGCTGTTTTTTCGTCGAGCAGACCATGTCAGGCATCCTGAACCTAATCGCGAGTATCTGGGAGAGCATCCTGCCCGCGCTTGAGAAGACCATCAATGAGCCTTCGCTCGACCTCATCCAGCAGACGGTGACAGGTGACAAGAGTTATTTTCTGCTGTTGAGCGTTAATCAACTACACTGTGTGCTTAATCAAATCCACTGCTGTGCGTTACACAGCCCCACTCCGTCGTTCTTACACGCACACCGAGCCGTAGTTCAACTCGTGGCAGCAGACATGTGGGAAAATGTTAAAAGATGTCACCTGCTGCGTTTTTTTGCCACCGACAACCATTTTTTTCCTCAATGATCTCCCTCCCTTCCGAACACTCGCCATGCAGCCGTACCTCCTTCGCGTGCTCATTACGCCCTCGCCCTCTGCGCTCGCTTTTCGCGTCTTTCCAAGGCGACACTCAACTCCTCGACTACTGGCCGTTACGCTAATATGTTCACCTTTGCCATGACCCCGACACGAAGCAGGCGAGGCGTTGTCGATCCTGTATAGGCGTTTTTCCGGTCAGGACGAGTGCCGGGCGGCATTCATGCGAGTGGCGGGGCTCGCGGGCGGAGATCTAGCCCCCGGTATGCTGGAGGACGTCGTGGTTGAGATGCTCGCCCTGCCCGCGGTGAGTGATTGCTTGATTTTTTTTTTTTATGTGTTTCGTTTTATGTGAGGGCTTGCTTTTTCTTTTTTCTCTTTGGCCTGGCCTATTTTGGTGCCATGTATGTATGCCGAAGGCTCGCTCGCTATGAGCGCTTCGGGAAGAAATTCAACATGTGTTGCTTTTTGGTCGAAAAAACTATTGTAGTGGTCGTGGTCGTGGTCTAGTCGTAGAACTTGTCGACCCCACTTGTGATGTAGCACATACCATGGTATGAGGTAATATGCTTCAAACCTGTCCTTTCAGCGGAATGTTGACCTTTGTACCTCACATTTCCTCGTGCCCTGATTTCTGATTTCTTATTCTCGCGAACGGTCGGACACGCTATTTAGTGCGGATATGAAATGTGCGAGTCCGGGAACACCCAAGCAGACGGTTGAAATCCTAAGGGGAGTTGTTGGAAAGCTACGGGAGAGGGCACTCGCTGATCACGCCCTGAAACGCCAGGGAAAAAGTAATAGTTGGCCTATAGTGTCAAGGAGCTAAACCGTCTATTCGCAATTCTTGTCCTACCCTGCTTGAGCGACTCTACTGCTAAACTTGCTATACTGGTGCACGCTTTTGGGTACACGATTTGGGGGGGGGCAGGATGCGCCGCCCTCTGCGTACGGGCCCACCGTCGACCTGCTGTGCTCGTGGGGGCAGCACGAGCACCTGGTGGGAGCGGTCGTGGAGAGCCTGAGGAAGGCGTTTTCCGTACCTGTGAAAACGACGACGGCGACGGCCACCGACGAGGAGGCTGGCAGCGGCGAGATTGCTGACGGTACGGGGTAGCAGCAAAGCAGTCGGGAGCTTTGTGGTAGCCGGGAGCTGGTGTTGCGCGATCGGACGGGTTTTTGTGCGCCTGGCATCTTTGGTCAGCGGCATGGGTTTCTGTTGTTGCCAGATAGTTCAAAATGTTTCTTTGGGCGGAGCGGAGAGAATTTGGGTGCGCTCCGTGATTTTTCCAAATCAAACAATCTTCTTCCGCTCCACTCCGTGACCATCGAGGAAAACACCGTCCCACGCCGATTGAATGCCATCTTTGTGTCCGTTGAAAACTTGTCGCGTGTTTGCTGTTTAGCAGCACAATATTAGAGTACCCTTGACTGGGAGGGAGCTGACGCAAGGTACCCCGGTTCCCTGGAGTCTTCCGCCTCCAGATAACCGACAAAACCCCTAGGGAACTCTTGAGCGAATCCACGTTACATGAACGACCGCCGTGTTTACCCCTCTCACCCCCTATATCCCTGCCTGCGTGCCCCTCGATCCCTCCCTGTCGCGAATAGCAGGAAAAGGGAAAAGTTCACGCGGAAAGCGCCGTCGACCCGCCTCTCGCAAGGAAGGAAATCACGACGAAGGAGGAGGAGGAGGAGGAGGAGGAGGGACGTGCATCCCCGCTCCCCTGGCCTTGAACATGCTCGGCCACCTGCTGGCGGGAGGCGAGGGTCACCCGTCGACGGGGGCGGCCCGCGATGCCATCATGGCGAGCGATGAAGCGGTCGGCAGCTTGGAGGTACGCAGATCGAGTGGAGAGGGTGGGAGAGAGGAGTAGGTTGGATCTGATGGGGCATTTGTTTACCGTCAGGACAGGCGGTGCGGGCGGGCAACCGAGTACTTGGGGGCTAAGCTAGGGGTGCACCGCTGTAATGCTCTTGACTGAAGTTACTATGGTCGTCCCATGTATGAGGCATAATTTGTTAGCTTTTGAATGAAGTTGTTGTTTGTCAGGCATATAGCGGTGTGGTAGGCGATGCAGCGCTCGTAAAGCCCAGCGTTCAGCTTTTCTCTGGTTTATCTGAGGTGGAAACCCGCAAGTCGCGTCTGCGGTAGATTTTTTTCTCTTGTGTTCCGTTTCCGCCCCCGCTGACTGCATGATATACCAACCCTGTTGTGCCTGTGTGTTGGTCCCGTGCCCGAAACCCTCACGTCTGTTTCTCTGTCCGTGTTAATATTGTAAAATATGTCCCCCTCTCTCTGTTGTTACGTTTTACCCCTTATCCTGTGACATTCTCTCGATGCCTCGCTCCCCCAGGCCAATTGACCCACCCAACCCGATAAACATCTGTTCTCTCTTGCCCTCTTCTCTCGAACAGGCGGTACTGGTCTTGGCACGCTCAGCCGCAACCACTCGCCTTTCGTCCTCATCGGCATCCACCTCTTCCTCCCTCACCACCACCGTCACCACCGCTACCGCTACCGCTACCGCTAAACGTGAGGACGAAGAGAGAGTGTCCCTCCGCCGCCGTTGCCCCGACGCCCTCCTCGTCCGCGCCCTGGAGGCCCTGGGGCGGGTCTACATGCACAGGGAGGCGGCGGTCGTTGGGGACGACAGCGGCAACCCCCCCACTGCTGCTGCTGACGAGGGCTCCGCGGCGGCGGGAGAGGACGTGTCGATGCTGCTGCAGCCCATGCCGTTCTCTGTGAAGATGCGCGAGCTCATGGTGTGGGCGACGAACACGGTGCTCCCGGTCCTTGTCGGCGGTGGCGGTGGCGGTGCTGCTGCTGTGGAGATGGTCGAGGAGGGAGGCACCCCGGGTAAGCTCGGCCAATAATCGACACGCATGGGAGGGGTACTCATGTAATATGAACTCTAGACCTCGCATGTATTGGGGGGGGGGGGTGAGATGCTGTCGGTAGCGGGGTCGAGATTTTTGTGGTACTGTAGGTGAGTATAGATTGGGGTCTGCTGGGGCCTTGTTTTTGGTTGGTAAATTAAACGTAAAACCTCTCTTCGCTTGCGTTGCGCATGTAACTCTCCCACTCTCCCTTGAGGTTCTGCGGCAACGCCGTGCAGAGACAATTCAGTCATGCCACCCCCGAGTTTGTTCTCGCCTCGGGCACGCCTCTCTTCTTTTCGTCGGGCTAGCACACAGAACCATGCCTGAAACCTTACCGTGCTTGTTGAAACCACATCGCGCCTGAGGAAACCTCATAGTGCTTGTTGAACCACATCATGCTTATTGAAACCACATCGTGCTTGATGAAACTGCATCATGCTTGGTGAAGCCTAATCGTGCTTGTTGAAACCACATCATGCTTATTGAAACCACATCGTGCTTGTTGACACCACATCGTGCTTGCTGAAACCACATCATGCTTGTTGCTTCATGCGTCCACGTCCGCACGTACAGTCAAGCCGGGCAGTGCGAGGCTGGTGGCAGAGTCCCCCTCGCCCATGCCCCCTCCGAGGTCAAGAGCACGCGCTAGCCTAGACAACGACGGTGGGGATGCTAGCAGTGCGGCCGCCGTTCGTGCTCTGGCGGGAGGCGTTTTCGGAGTGGTGGTCCTGCTGGCGTCGGAGTGGGTGGAGGTAGGCTCTGGGCTGGCGGAGATCAGCATGAGGGCTGACACCTGGGGCAACCGGCTCTTGGCCTCCCTCCTTCAGGTGAGTGAGATGACATGATTCTGGGGAGTCGCTGAGGGGGGGGGGGGGAGTACTCGTGTAAATGCATGCCGTAGTCGTTGACTTCGCACCCCTTCAATGCGGGGATGGAGCGATAGCAGAGGGGGAGGGCAGGGCAACGATTCTGGTGGGATTGCGAGAGGACCACGTCTTTGGTGGCAAGCTGGTTTTGTCGATATTCACAGACTGCTTTGCTTCCCCTTTCTATTGCCCCCAATAAGCTGAAGCCGATGCGCAGGGGGTTAGAGCGATCGGGTGTGCAATCAATCGCGGTAGCGACAGCGTGGCATTACGCTTCTGTCTGGTAGACCCAGTCGAACGAAAGTCTGAGCAACTTCCTCCCCCGCCCCCCCATGACACACACAACCCGATGATCCACGTTGTCGCGTCCCAGGAGGACGACGGTCACGAAGGGCAAGGGCACCCCAGCGGCGTGAACGCTGTTCTGCCCCAGCTGTGTCGGCTAGGCCTGCACCTGTCGGCGCGCGAGGCCCAGGGCGCGCGACCTCCTGTGTCTATCTGGGATGTACGTCAATGCTCGCTATCGGTGCAGTAGTGAATTCCACACGAGGGTTGTAGGTTGTGTTTATCTTCGCGTATTCTTCGAGTTCGAGGGTAATAAAAAGGTAGCTTCTAGTCTTTCCGTGTGCTGTCGGATCCTACTCTTCTCGTGTGGCCACGAGTTCGAGAGTCAACAAAAGGTGTCCCCTTCGGAGGGTCGTCGGAGGGTGTAAAATAGGTACCTCCGTGTATTTCCGTGCGCCGTTGTCTCGAAAAGTGTTTCCCTTGTGGGAAGTGAGGCACGCAACGTGTCTTGACACCGAGTTGTGCCCGCCGTGCCCCGCCCATCGGGAACACCCAAAGGTGCTCATGAGGTGCGCCGATCGCCGGGTTTCCATGAGCGAGGAGGCTCTGTTCGTGGGGGAGGAGGAAAGGAGCAAGGCGACGTGTGTCCAGGTGAGATGAAACATTTCGTACGAAGTACTTTTGTGTGTGTAGCTGGTGTAGTCATTAGATAGTCTCGTGAGCACGACAAGCTTGAATTTGGTTTTCGTGCTTTGGCGTTGGTAACGCACACCTTTTGTCAACGAAAAAGTAGGTCGCAGTTTACAGTAGTACAGCATAGTCGTGAGTACACGCAACGAAGACCGAAGTGACTGCTGTACCCTTGTCGCGTTCAAAATTGAAGGCAAACCACGCCAGGACGAAGAGTGGAGAGCCCCTCACGTGTGAACACCTCCGTTGCGTGAAAACATGTACCAGAAGGTGCAGACAGACCAGATGGGACGGAGAAACCCAAACAGTCAATCTGGCTGCCTGGTTCATTTTGCGTGTGGTGTCGGTTTTTCTCGTCGTTTTTCTTTCTTTTTTTCCAACAGAGTTTCCTGGCAGCGTCGGTGGCCCTGGAGGGGAGGAAGGACGGCATGTCTTCGCTCGTGGAGCGACTGATGGCCTTCATGTTCACCCAGGCCTTCATTTCGGACGAAGATGACGAGCAAGGCGGAGCCGAAGAGATCACCGACAAAGGTTCGTTCTCTGTGGATTTTTCTCGCATTCGCGCCTGAGAGCGTTTTGCACTGGATGCGTTTTATTGCGTACCCCACAAGCAATTATCTGATACCACAGCAGTCTTGCAAAAAAACATATTTGGGTTCTTCCCCGGTATTGCTCTTCTTTACACTCGGCACAGGTGCACGCAAGACACCTTCGCTTCCGTCGAGCATAGAAGCGTCCACCAAGTTAGATGCTCCCGTCAAGTATCCCGTTCGGTCTTCACGAACGCGCAACACGCCAGTAACACGCCTTTTTCGTAAGTCCAGATTGTTCTTGTGCCCCCTCGCTTTCCCGGCCTGAAACTTGTACGCGTTTTGCTCGGAGTTGAAACGGTTGCTCTCCCTCATGGAAGAGACGACCAAACGACTGGGGCAAGCAACAAGACGAGTTACTCCTCGCCCCCGTGCTGTATATTGTCCGCGTCCCTCTACTGACAGGACCAAGCATCGACGGCCTCACGCGGCTCGAGGTACGCGCCATGCAAGACGCCGAGTCCGACGAACCTCCCGGGTGTCTGCTGCTGCAGCTCTCGAGGCCCGCGGCGGCGGTGTTGGAGAGCGTCCTCCGCTCCTCGCCGGCTTCCAAGGCGGCGGGAGCGTTGGTTCTGTCTCACCTGGCCGCCTTCGGGGATGCCTCCGGTAGGGAAACGGTTGCGTCTCAGGTGGCGTCGTGTGTTCGCAAAATCATGTGTCTTGTTGTTGTCCGTGATGGTGGCGTTTCGGTCATCCAATGCTGGTAGTTGTGGGGTTGGAGCTTTTCCTCTCGTTTTACTTGTCAATTCACTCGTAGTGCCGTGGTATGCACGACGTAAGCCGCGAAATAGCTTGTCTGTAGACCTTGGTTATGCACGGCATATTTTTTCCGCTATCTTGTACGACCGCCCCCCGGTCCATTTCGTGTCCATCTCCTCCGGCTGACTTTTAACTCTTGGAGTCTGGATGCGTCGTGGCATACGATGTAAGCAACAGGTATATTTACAATAGGTTCACCGGTCGAGTACTCACAGACTTCGGTGTGTGTGTGTGTGTGTGTGTGTGTGACAACCCCTGTACCTCAAGCCTTGTCCGCTTCTTTCGTTCTCGCCCCTGCGGATCTTCTCCCTTGGCCCGTGCAAAAACATCAGGGGCAGGGGAGGACGCGTCGTGGCCGCTCTTCTGCGCTCACGTCCTCGTCGCCCTCATCGAGAACGCCCCGGCCAAGACGCGCCTGCAGCTGGCCGCGGACGCCCACGCGGGGCTCAGGTCGGCGGCCGCCTCGACGTCGACCTTGTCGTCGCCCTTCTCCTTCTCCGAGGGCAACAAGAGCGGTGCGGTAGTGTCACCAGCGGGTGCCGACGCTCCGGAGGAGGAGGAAGGGGTTTCCACGAGGAAGGCTGCGGCGTTCGCGGTGGGGGCGATCTATGGGCGGCTGGAGGCTGCCCGGCGGGCGGCGGTGACGGGGGTTGAAGGAGAGGCGCAGGGGGTGGCGATGGTGGGCGCTGCAGCGGCGGTGGCTGTTTCGGCTTGACGGGAAGAGGGAATCGGTCTATGTCTTGTTCACGCATGTATCCCTCTCGACACACGGATGGCAGCGCGAGGCGGTGGTGGTGGAGTAATGTATGGTGGCATATTTTTTAGCCTTCAAGAGGAGTATATTTTGAAAATTCTTCTTGCAGGGCTTGGAGATGACGAAAAGAGCAGGACAGTAAGAGGGGGGATGGGAAGTACACGGGGAGAGGAAATAGGGGAGGTTTTTGCAGCCGTGCCGATCAGGAGAGCAAGAGTACCAACTATGGTGCATCGAGCCGGAGACATGGTTCGTTGAAAAAGGACGGAGTGTGTGTATGGTTGGTACTCTCGCGTATACACCCGGAGTCTGTTCTTTGCGTAGGTTAAAGTTACGGATAAAGTTGCAAGTTAGTGTGGTAAGGGGACATTCGAGAATATTGTGTTCAGGTACGTACGTAAGGTTCCAATGCCGATGTTCTTGTATGTAAGTCGTAGCGTTTATCTTTCGGACTATTGAAATGTAAAATGATAACAAGTACTTAATGGTAGGTTACTCGCAACGGCAGACCGGCAACCATTACGAATTTGAGGCATTGGATATTCGTTGTGAGTTTTTTTTTTGGCCAGCATGGCGGTTACAATCTAGAATGGACCGTGGCCAGCAAGGGCCACAGTAGTTTGGTTGGTGTTGGGGAGGAGGAGAGGGAAGAGAGTCATGGCCTGGTCACCTTGCTGTTGTTTATTCTCTGCTGCTTGTTGTCTTCATCGATTCCATTCATACAGTACGCACGTTGTAGATAGAAGTACGTAGCAGTGGTGTTGTTCGGTTCTTCTCTGGAAACCGTTGAGAGCTACTTGCTCTGCGCGAAAGATCCAACCAAGTGGGGGCGGAGTCTGGCGATCCAAAAACCAAGACCGGCAACGATATGACTGCGCAGGACTCTTTTAGGTTGCTGTACGCGTCACGAGCTGCTGTGCTCACTTGTCTACTCATTGCTTTTGTTCACATCTACATGTAGGAGAGTTTAGGACGATTGAGCTTAACTGGCCTTGTTGTTAGGGCGACAGTGTACAACTAGCGCTGACCCAACACTTGCTTGTGTGTGGTGCGCGAAAGACAAGATGTACTTGATTGAGTGAGTGTCGGAAGCGGGTGTCGTCGCTCGAAGTGCATTCTAGCATGTTGTTAGACCAAGACGCTGCCTGCTTTTGCTATCATCATGTAGACTACCATGTACTGTTAATAATACCGTATTTCGGAATTTGTTGTTCGACGTGTGCAACCGCAGAAGATTGCATCGGAGATTTTGTAGATGACATCTGTGTGTCTCTCCAACGTGTGTCGAGAGGAACGATTCCCTCGACGACGATTGATTCCGTCTGGGTCACGATGTGTGCGAAGATATTTCGAGCTGTACTCGCAGCTACCGTAAGTAGAGTACTAAATACAACGTCACAGACAGGTGGAGGTCGACCCCCCTTCCCCAAAATGTCGGATGCCCGCACCCCCTTGTGGAGACCTTGTCGAGGTCAGACGCCTTGGGGAACACAACCAAGGCAAAAAGAGGGGAT